AAAAACCCCTTCTGATTTCCAGGCGACACAAATAGAATTAGAGCCTCCCGTTTGTTTCACCCCCTCTTTTCTTTCCCCCCTTCCAGAAGAGCCCTTTTGTCTCGATCGTGAACTCTGGCCCAGCCGAGCAGTGCGGGATGTGCGGGATGCGCGGGGTCCTCGGGATGCGCGGTGGCTGGAGGCGCGACGGTGTCGGGTGCCGGAGAAAAACACGCCAAGTATTTAAAAGCCACTTTTCTTTCCCGTCCTTGCGCGCTGAGAGGGGCCCGGCCCGCTCCCCTCAGGCTGCGGGAGGAATGCTCGGAGGCAGCGGAACAAAACAGGAACAGCGCGCCTTTGTGCGGCCGCCGCCGAGCATGGGAAAGCGCCTCCCGGGCCCGGCTCCGGCCGCCGCCATCCCACCCGCTGGAATAAAGTGTTAAACACGGACCGGGGCTTCTTTGGCATTGCTGTATTGGGAGGGAGCGGCCAGAGCATCCCCCGCACTGCGGTCCCCGGCCCTCCTCCGGCCCTGCGCCGCAGCCGTGCCGAGCCGTGCCGAGCCGTGCCGGGTGACAGAGCCGACGGGCCGGGGACAGGCGGTGGCTGTCCCCCGTCGATAGAAGGACAGGGCGGCGACACGTTCCTTTTCCCAAAGCGTCCCCCGGCTACCTGCCACGGCCGGGAGGAAAAAATCCCCACTTTTTGTTGTCCCTGCTGCCCCGCTCCCAGGGCTGCTCGGGCTGGGCTCGGCGGCCCTGCGCGGAGCTTGGGCACCGGCGCTGCAGCTCAGGATGGCAGGCCACGGGATGAGCTCCTGGCTGGTCTGGGGCTGCCTAACCAGCTGGGATGGGGGGATTTGCAATAGTGATGATGATGGTGAGCAAGAAGTGAAGAAGGAGCAATAACAACAACAACAACAACAACAATAATAAAATTAATAATAATAACAAGAACAACTACAGTAATAATAATAATAGTAATAGTAATAGCAATAGCAATAGCAATAGTAATAGTAATAGCAATGGTAATAGTAATAGTAGTAGTAGTAGTAGTAATAATAATAATAATAATAATAATCCTTTCTTGTCGCTCCGTCCCTCTCCCGGCCGGGACCCGTGGCGTTCGGGGGGCGGCCAGCAGAGGGATCTGCGCTTTGCTTTTCCTCTCGGTCGCGGCGGCGGCAACATCTGCTGGGCTGGAGGAGACGGGGCGATTGAGCAGACGCACAGATGTAAAAGTGACATCTGCTTGTGACAAAGGAGTGGGAATTAGATTAGGCGGGGAGGCCTTTCTGCGATTAGGGGAAAAAAAAAAAAAGAAAGAGAAAAAGAGAAAAGGAAAATACTAGCTGCAGATTGTGTAAGCAGGGGAAGAGGATGTGAAAGACAGAAATGCTCGTCGGGCAGCTGCTAGGACATTCGGGGCAGCACAAGGGTCCTGGGAGCTGAAATAGCCCTAAGAGAAGGCTTTGCTTTTCCCTCCAGAAGCAGAGATGTGGCCGGGTCAAAGCTTTCTGTCATTAGGAGCAGAGGACAGCAAGCAGCAGAGCATCGTGGAGACTTGGACACCAGCAGAGATGCTCTCCCGCTGCTCCTCACCAGCTAGGCAGAGACCCAGCTCTGGACACTTCTTTGTTCCCTGATGGAATAAATATAGGGAGGTTTGTATACTCAAAAGTAGGGAAACAGGAGGCCTTGCCTTTCCTTGCCTTATGAATGTCTGATCAATAATCTATTAAATAAAAAAAAAAAACCAAAACCAAAAAAAAAAAAAACCAAAAAAAAAAACAACAAGGCAAACAAAAACCACAACTCACAACCACAAGTTTAAGTCTGGGACTGTTTGGTTAAAGCAGAAGCACTGTTTTGTTGTGCTTGTCCAATCCCCTGCACCCAGCTGAGGCTTCACCTGCACCAGCATGCACTGGTTAGCGAGAAAAACACCTCCCACATTTCAAATTATACAGTCTGTTCTGCAAGCAATGCTTTTCCCAGTTACATGGATATTGATATTGTATATCGCTCAACATCATGCTTTCTTTTTTTTTTTTTTTTTTTTTTAAGCCCTAGCACCTTTACCTCTAGGGATACTTGATGCTCTTGGAGAGCAACACACAGAAGAAATAATAGGTCTGAATTGCATTTCAGATGGTAGAAGAAATGTACTGTATTGCAAAACCATCAAGTTATAGAGTGCAATGTGCTGTGCACTGGGGTAGATTTGGTAATGTCTCTAAGCTTGATGAAGTTGGTCAAACCCTACAGAAGCTTTTAAAGACTAGACTGTGTTTTCAGCAGAGTGCAGAACAGGTTCACAGTACTGAACAGCTTGCAGGACTGCAGCTTGCCTGTGCAAGCTGATCTTTGTTACAAAGTTAGGGAGTGAGTGTGTGATACCTTTGCCATAATGGGGATGAGGAGCGAGAGGATTGGATCATAGAAATTGAGAGGTCTCTGATAAAAAGCAGAGAGATAGTGCAATGAAAATAGCTTAAAAGATAATTAGGGAAATCCTGTTA